CGAACATCTTCAACCTCTCCTCAAAGATAAGAAGACAATCCCATTTCCCCACCCTCCATCCAGTCATTCCTTTCTTGCCTTTTCCGTCCACATCCTTCAATTCCATAAGAACCCCACAATCCCATTTTCTCCCTGTTGCTGCCCCTTAACGCACCCGAACACTCGTTCGCCGGCAAAAGGAAGACAGAAAATGGCCTCCGCCACCGCACCCACCACCCTTTCTCTCCTCAAGACTACTGCTGCTTCTTCCTCTGCCACTCGCACCTCTGCGTCCCTCCTCCGCGTGCCCTCCGTGCGCGGCCATAACCTGGTTCCCCTCCGCCACAGCATCGGGTTTGCCTCCTCAGTTGGGGACAGTCTGCTCTACCGAAGTGTTTCTTCAAGGGTTCGATCGGTCAGGGGAAAGGGATCGAGGGGAGTGGTGTCGATGGCGAAGAAGAGCGTTGGGGACTTGACTTCGGCCGATTTGAAGGGGAAGAAGGTGTTTGTAAGGGTTGACTTGAACGTGCCATTGGATGAGAACCAGAACATTACTGATGATACCAGGGTTCGTGCTGCCATTCCTACCATCAAGCATTTGATTCAGAATGGAGCTAAAGTCATTCTCTCCAGCCATTTGGTACGTGAGATTTCAAGTTTCTTAGGTTTTTGGTTCCTTCTTCCTTTTGTTTAAATGAAATTTCTTAACAATTTGAGGTTTTGATTTCGGGATTGGGTGAAAGTTTGATGCTTTGACCTCTCTAGTTTGTGTTTTGATGTCTTTGGAGTAGCTCATTGAACTGGGTTTTACTTTGGAATGGCTAATTCAGTAAATTTCATGAGCCTTAGCTGAACTAATGTTGGGTTCATTGGTTCATGTAATTTTCAGGGACGACCAAAAGGTGTCACCCCAAAATTCAGCCTGGCCCCCCTTGTTCCTCGGCTATCTCAATTACTTGGCATCCAGGTATGTATAATTTTTGTCTAAGCTAAGCTGAGGCATGTGATTAAAAAAAAAAAAAGGCGCATAGGTTCATGATTGGGACATGGATATCGTTACTGATAGGATTATTACCTTTATCAACTGAACAGGTTGTGAAAGCTGATGACTGCATTGGTCCAGAGGTAGAAAAATTGGTTGCTTCACTTCCAGATGGAGGTGTTCTTCTGCTGGAAAATGTTAGGTTTTACAAGGAAGAGGAAAAGAATGAACCTGAATTTGCAAAGAAGCTTGCCTCCTTGGCAGATCTCTATGTCAATGATGCCTTTGGCACTGCTCACAGAGCCCATGCTTCAACTGAGGGTGTTACGAAATTCTTGAAACCATCTGTTGCTGGTTTCCTATTACAGAAGGCAGGTTTATATGTTATTATTTCCTGATTATGTTGCTCCAAAAATTTTGAAATGGTTTTCGTTACTTTGAATTAGTGCTAGTTTGCACCTATAAATGTAACAGAAATATTTATATTTGGTATGATGCTTTTCGTACAGTCACTTGGTATATAATGCCAATGGAAATACATTCACTCTGAAGTTCTGCATCTGAATTTTTGTTGTGAATTTGCCTGTGCCCCCCCTTTTTTATAACTGCACAGTCTGCACTTATCTTTCCTAGCTAGCAATTACTCCTTTAATTATTAATGTAGCTTGTTATATATCATTGGCTTTCTTCCTACCTTGTTTCAGGAACTGGACTACCTCGTAGGTGCTGTGTCAAACCCAAAGAGGCCATTTGCTGCAATTGTGGGTGGTTCAAAAGTCTCTTCCAAAATTGGTGTCATCGAGTCACTCTTGGAGAAGTGTGACATCCTACTTCTGGGTGGTGGTATGATTTTCACATTTTACAAGGCACAAGGTCTTTCAGTTGGTTCATCCCTTGTAGAGGGAGACAAGCTTGATCTTGCAACATCCCTTCTTGAGAAGGCCAAAGTAAAAGGAGTTTCTCTTTTGTTACCCACTGACGTGGTAATTGCTGACAAGTTTGCTCCTGATGCAAACAGCAAGGTTTGTTTTCTATACTCTCAAGATTTTTCAAAGTAACCTATCAACATGCATCTGTGAGTATTTGTACTTTATATTTATAAGCATAAAATGAAAATAGGTGCTGCTTATTGCAGATTGTGCCAGCATCTGGTATTCCTGATGGATGGATGGGATTGGATATTGGACCAGAGTCTGTTAAGATATTCAATGACACTTTGGATACTACCAAAACCATCATCTGGAATGGACCAATGGGAGTGTTTGAGTTCGACAAGTTTGCTGTTGGAACAGAGGTAGACATAAATTCCTTGCTCATGGCTTTTTTTCAAAGGATTTTTGGTTATTAAAGTTTCCCTCTTCTTGTTCTTTCTTTTTCCAGAAATAATTTTATAGATTAACTTCTCTTTTGTGCATGCCCTTGTGTGTGTGTGTGTGTTAAGTTAATTATTCTCAAACCTAAGATTTTAACCTGATGAGATCCAGCTGAATCGAAGTTTGAAGCAACTGACTGTAGCATTTAGTACTTAATTGTATAAAACAGTCACTTTAGCATGCAAGTATGGGAGTTGTCAAAGTTGCATTACTCTCTGGGTGATACATTATTGTTGTTAACTGGATGATTGGATGCTGAATTGAAGTTGTACCTCTTCCTGCAGGCTGTTGCAAAGAAGCTTGCAGATCTTAGCAGCAAGGGTGTGACAACAATCATTGGAGGTGGTGATTCTGTTGCTGCAGTAGAAAAGGTAGGAGTTGCTAGCGTGATGAGCCACATTTCAACTGGTGGTGGTGCCAGTTTGGAGTTGTTGGAAGGAAAAGAACTTCCAGGTGTGCTCGCTCTTGATGAGGCTACACCAGTTGCCGTGTAAGATCAATTTCAGCAAATTTTCTCTCATTCCCATTGACAATATTTTCCTTGGTTTTTTGCAATTGTGAACGAGATGCCATGGGAAGATATGAGTTCATCTTGTAAATTACACCTTCAGATTCAGTCAGTATAAGGTTGCATTCTGCCTCCTCCTCTCTCTTCCCGCTAAACTTGTCAGAAGAGTGTATGAATGAGCAGACAGAACTGTGTGTTTCAAATAAATGAATGAAATTAATGAGATTTATTTTTCCCGACCTTGGAATCTCTTAGGAACATAATCCCTCTGATTTCAAACCAATAGGATATTGATAAGCATTCTCCTTTTTTTTTCTTTATATTGGCCTTGTGTATCTATCTATCTTCCCTACCATACCAAAAACCATAAGCATGCTTCACACCTTTGCTTGCTACCATATAAAGCATTCATTACTAGTATCATTGTGTTAGTAGGAAATTTTCATGTGGTTCCATTGAAAAGAATTGACCAGAAATTCAAAACGATTGTCGTCAAAATGATTGGTATATGTATTTGTTGCAATGCCTTCAATTCTTTTAAATGGATGGTGCACCATACTAGAGCTAGCAATGTGGGGCTAGCCTGAAGATTGAATGTTGTCCGACTCGACACGGTACGGCTGCCATCTCTCTCCTCTGTCGATTTGTTATGGCGGTTGCTTGTCAACTACCTAAATTGACATTGATATAAAAACTTGTGGAAAGGGACAGAACTACAAGTATTCACAAGTCTCTCCAGCCACAAAAAAAATGGGAGGTCTTTACTGCTTCCATAACTCTAAAGTCACAAACCTATTTTTTAGTATGGCTGTCTCGTGACACTACAATCACATCTTTCCTGCGTAAAAATGAAAAAAGTTGCCACCAGATCGTAAACCCCGTTCAGTTAGTCCAGAGGGACCAAGTGAATGACTGTGTGTTCGGCCAAATTACTCCGGCTAGAGATCTATGGGCTCCACACCTGTCTCTGCCCCCAGGCACAAGGCATTCAGATCCCTAGACGCGAAGGATTACTCTTTACGGAGCCTGCATCGCTGCAGTTTAGGGCCCGGGGATTTTCCTGAACCAATCCTCAGAGAGAGTTATGGCCCATGCACTTCGTCCAGTGGCCAGATACTCCACGCGTGTAAACTGCTTATTATAAAGGGGTTTGTATTTTTTTCCTTGCCGATGTGGGATTATTTAAGTTTGCCTCTCTCCCTTCTGCCTCCTCTTTTGGTATTCACGGACTAGTTAAAAATGAAATCCAAACATCTATTACCCATCTAGAAGATGGATAAGATGGATCAACTATACCATTAGTGATGTAGTATAGTAATAAAGTTATTTATATTTTTAATTATGAATTTAAAGTTTAATTTTTAACATCTATGTACCCAAAGGAAAAAAAGAAGATAGATCAACGACAGATTCCACCGATACAAAAAAAGGTCATGCATCGTTCACAGACTGGTGGCAACTTCAAATATATCGTAGATTCACTCCCTTCATCGGAAGATATTGAAAAAAGGGATGTGCGGTCCAATACCAAGTTCTGGACTATTAGGAAAACCTCTAGGAACGCTGAATGTTTTGTTGAAAACAATGAGTCCACTATTCTCTAATTTGCGGTTTCATATCTAAAAAGGAAAGCATATCTACCTTGCTCGAATCATAAGCTAATGGTCTCCAATATGATATTTTCTTCTTTAAAATTGAACTGTCCCACCAACTGCTTTAGTCTAGTCGAAGTTTCCAGGAATATTCTAGAAAGATACCCAATTGGCCCCATACATGATAAAACTTATATTTCGATGTTCCCATAATAAAAATTCTCCATATTTATTTATTTATTATTTTTTTAGAAAATGATATTTATGTAATTTTTTTGTCTTATTTTTTTATAACCTGACGTATTAATTAAATGGTCAATTTTTTTAATTCATGTGAAATCCATGATATGAAATGCATCTACTCATTTAATAAAATGTAAAAATTGTATAAAAAGTGATATAAAAAGGTTGTCTCTACCACATCATCTCTTTTTTTTTTTTCTTAATATGACGGAATTTGGGGAGGATAATTCTCTTTTTTTAGTAGTAGTCGAATTTTCAATCAATTATATTTAAATACTTAAGGTTTAAGGGCAAATTATTGAATTCTGAAGACCCAGTTCTCTTCATTTTTATTTATTATTTTGCCATCATACGCAACTTGTAATTAATTAATAATTATTTATAACCTAAGATCAATATTAAAGTCATTTTCATATTTAGGTACAATAAATTGAGAATAAGCATGTGTTCTGAGGTAATGCTCTTACTTTTGAGTTTTCATTCGTGCGAACCTAATGTTTCATGCGTTTTGTGCTCTCTTTATTTCGGTTTTATTTATGATAAATTAAGTCAATCTAACACAATATTTTTTATTTTTGGTGAAAGGGGTAAGAATTTGTATAAAAACACTGTGTATAACATGAAATTATTTTCTGTATGAGTCAACATCATTTACATACATTAAAAATTAACACTTACATAATTTTAAATATAGG